TGAATTTGAATCTGAATAATCCCTCTCTAGCTTGCTATGTGTAGGACAGTAGACAAAGGCTGATTTTACAGATATCCTCCATTTCTTTCACTTGCAAGAACTACTATTCTCAAAAACAGTGTAAGTAGATACCACAATGGTAGAGATGAGCATCAACGAAGAGAGGTAGTTAGGAACCACTGAAGCAAACCCTGGAACGACAACTGACCACAAGAAACAATGCAAGGCTAGCAGAAAGCAGGCGAGCATTAGTGCAATCAAATAGAGCAAATTGACATTTACCCACAGACCAAATTGCATGAAAAGTTAGAATAAATATAACATGGAATCTACATTTGTCCTCTACCCACAATTACCACATAAAGGCAATCCTTTTAATCAAGGACCACTGCATGACCAGGCTTTGTCTCTGAGCCATACATCATATCAGAGTGGCCATTTAGTACTTTCATCAGCACTAGATCACAATGACCACAATCATAGCACAGTAATTAGACACTTGATTGGCACTTATGGAGAGAGCATATGTTTTAACATAGTGCCCAAAGGGTAGTGATCCTTCCTGCTTTCTAAAGAATATATTATACATATACATACCAAGTATATATGGTATACATGTATATAACTGAACATTAAAACTGGTCCTCCGTACTTAAATCTTAAAAGAACACAACCACCATATAAATTTGCATGGGCATTTTGATATTGAAAAAAAATCAAAAGATATTGGTTTGAATAAAAAAGGTCAGAAAACGAACATTCTATGACTGAATTCATGATTTTGCATTTTGAAATAATCTCTGTGAAAATAGTTAAAGATATTTGCTATGTTCATGTCAAATGGATAATTATTCTGATTTTGTGCTTGATTTCTTGTAATACACGCATTTTCAATTTGACATGTTGTTCATTGTGAGCAATTAAAGTGAAATAATGCTTATTAAGCTGTAAATGAGGAAGGAAATGTTGCATAATTAATAACATAATGGTAAAAATCATGCAACTAAAGTTGGCCAAATCTAACTGAACATAGATGTATGTCATAATGGTATGTTCGCAGTACGAGT